GAGACAGGGCTTTGTTTGGCCCAGATTGATCTCAAAGTCACTATATAGTAGAGAATAGCCATGTGCCCTTGAATTTCCTGCCTCAGCCTCTTGAGTGCTAGGAAGACAGGTGTGGGTACAGGGCTTACAGACCCTAGTGTCAGAGGGCTGCCTGATGTCAAGCTCTCTTGGGACAAGATAGACGGAGCAGCTATTCATGACCTTGTCACTCATGGAGAGTTTGGAGAAGGGAGAAGTTACCTGGGGACTGAGAACCCTTTCTCAAGCTGCCGAGTACAGCATGATAGCAGAGCCAAAGGCTGCACACACATCAAACCTCCTTGGTGGCAGCATTGGATATCAGGCCTGGCCTGGGACAGAGTACAGTCAGGGTGGCTCAACCCTGGCCCTTTGGCACATTCATGCATACCTGTCTTAGTTAGAGTGTCATTGCTGAGAGGAGACACAATGACCAAGGCAACTCTTACAAAGGACAACATTTAATTGGGGCTGGCTTACAGGTTCAGAGGTTCAGTCCATTCATCAGGCAGGAAGCATGGCAGTATGTAGGTAGGTATGTTTCTGGAGGAGCCAAGAGAAGACTGATTTTCCAGGCAGCTAGGAAGTGGTTCTCAAAGCCCACCCCAACAGTGACACATTTCCTCCAACAAGGCCACACCTCCTAATAGTGCCAACCCAGACATACAAACACAGGTACACATAGTGCTGCAGCATATACAGAGTGAGGACACACTTTTCCCTGTGTGTGTTGTGGTATGTATATTGTGTGAGTATTTATGTGGTATGTGTGGCGTGGTGTATTTGTGGTGGTGGTGGTGGTATGTGCGTAGTGTGTGTGAATATATTGTGGTGTGTATAGTATATGGATATGATGTGGTACTTGTGAATGCAATGTAGTGTGTGTATGTGTGAATGTGTTATGATGTGTGTGTGTGAATGTGTTGTGATATGTGTATGTGTGTGGGACAGTACATATGTGTGAATATGCAGTTACATAAGGAGGCCAAAGCAGGACTTGCGATATCTTCCTGTATCTTTTTCTTCCTTATTGCCCCGAGACAGGATCTCTGGCTGAATCAGAGCCTTGTCCTTTCAGCTAGGCTGGCAGACTGGAGCAGTCTGGAGATCTGCTTGTCTCTGCTTCTCAGTGCTGTGATTAGGCCATGTGTAGCACTGTCAGCCTTTTAAAATATGTATATGTGTATAGATATTTGAACCCACGTCCTCTGGAAGAGCTTTCAGGGCTCTTAACTTCTGACTCATCTCTCCAGCCCCAGTGTGTGAGACAGATACTAGGGATTCACACTCAGGTCCTCTGCTTACAGAGCAAGCAAGCCCTATTATCAACAGAGCCATCTTCCTAGTCTCTTTCTCACCTTTCACCTGATATCTTCATTTAGCTCTAGACCACGGAACTAAACTCCTGAGCTATTTCCACACCTGAGGCTCAGAAATTACCTTTCACATTCCCCTGAACCAGGTACGGTACTACTGTCCTCTGTTACTTTGCTCAGACAGAATCTTGCCATGGAGTCAAAGTCCCAGCTGGCCTCAGACTTGCGACAATGCTCCTGCCTCTGCTGATGTTCACTCATCCATATTTGCTTCCCTCTCCTGTGGCATCTCTAGGGAGAGGAGTTCCTGGCTCTAAGTAACGGAGTCCAGTGTGGCTTGAGGATGCCGTTCCCATACGCTCTCTATCTGCTTGCTGATGAATGAAGGTGGAAAAAGATCAATACAGATCATCAGTTAGTAAATAATTAAACATCGTTCTAAGCTGCCCTTGGTACTCCGTCCTGTACTGTCTTTTTCAAAGGCATCATTTTTTTTTTTTTTAAAAGAAAAAGCTGAATGTGATGCTATGCACCAGGAGAATAAGATCATCCTTGGATACGGGCAGAGTTTGAGGCCAGCCTGGGCTAATGAGACCCTGCTTCAAACAACAACAACAACAACAACAACAACAACAAAATGAAATAAATCTTTCAAAAAGCCGATGTAGCACTGTGTTCCTGCAATCTCATTACCTAGGGAGTGGAGGCAGGAGGATCAGGAGTTCAAGGTTTTTATTGGCAACTCAGTAAGCTGCAGACTAGCCTGCTTTATATGAAACTCTGTTTCAAACAAATAAAAATTCTCATTTTGTTATTTTATTTAATCCTCAGTGGCATAGAGAACTACATTTTAAAGGGAGATTTATTGTTTTAGATTATGTGTATGCATATGTCTATGTACGTGAGTGCGGGTACCGAGGAACACCAGCCTTGTTGAATCTTGGGACTGTAGTTATGGATAGTTGAAGAGTTGGGAGCCCCTGATGGGGTTTCTGGGAACTAACCTTGAATCCTGCAAGAGCAGCATGCATTCCTAACTCCTGAGATATCCCTCTAGTCCTCATCGCCATGGTCATTTCCAGACGAGGACCCGGGAAAGTACATGATCACATAGGTGACACACTCTGCAGCTAGAATTACAAGTCGAAAACCAATCAGGGAGGGGCTGATGAGATGACTTAGGGCATGGAGGTGCTAAGTGCTAAGCCCGCCAACCTGAGTTTGTTCCATGAAACCTGCACGGGGCTAGAAAGATGGTTCATTGGTGCAAAGTACATATTGTTCTTGTAGAGGATCTCACACCCCTGTGAACAGCTTACAACCGTGTACAACTCACAGAAACACACAGACAGACACACAGAAACACACACATAAAATTTAAAAAGAGCCAGGCGGTGGTGGCGCACGCCTTTAATCCCAGCACTTGGGAGGCAGAGGCAGGCGGATTTCTGAGTTCAAGGCCAGCCTGGTCTACAGAGTGAGTTCCAGGACAGCCAGGACTACATAGAGAAACCCTGCCTCGAAAAACAAACAAACAAACAACAACAACAACAACAACAAAAAAAAAATTAAAAAGAAAATCCTCAATGGGCAGTGGTGGTGGACATCTTTAATCCCAGCACATGGGAGGGAGAAACAGGAGGATCTCTGTAAGTTCAAGGCCAGCCTGGTCTACAGATCGAGTTCTAGGACAACCAGAGCTACACAAAGAAACCCTGCCTTGAAAAAAAAAATCCTCTAAATAAATATTCAAACAACAACAAAATGCCAACAGGGGAGCCATGCCCTCTTTGGTAGTCACCCATGAGTCACACACAAATGTGCACAGGAACCAGAAGCAAACTAATCCTTGGCATACCTACTTCCTGGCATTCTCCCTCAAGCTTAGCCATTGTCCTGACTCCCGATGATACCTGCTACACAGATCTATAACTCCATAAGCATGAGGCATAAACCTTATATATCTAACTTTTCCCTTCCTGAGATAGATTTTTATATAGTCAAAGCTAGCTTGGAACTCTCAATGTCACATAGACTTCCCAAGCACTGGGAAAACAAGTGGAGTACTGTACCAAATTAACTCATTCATGTAGTCATTCATTCATTCCTGCGCGCGCGCGCGCGTGTGTGTGTGTGTGTGTGTGTGTGTGAAATAGCCCAAGCTGGTACTAGCTAAGTATCTCAAGCTGGCTTTGAACTTCTGAGAATCCTGAGTTTCCCCACTGATGAGTGCCTAGCTCTTATCTGGCTTCTTTCGCTCATAGTCCTTTGTAAGAGTCACCCATGTTCATTGTATGTAGCTGTAAATTATTCAGTGTCAATCCAATAGTGAATATGCCACAATTTATATAACCTTCTAATGACCTACAGGTTATCAGTACAGTTTCCACTTGAGGCCACTCCAAACAGCACTGCTAAGAACAAAAAACGGAAGTTAGGTAAGCCTCTTGGGTGTGAAAGTACTGGGCATTAAGTCCTTTAAAGCAGATTTCCAGGTTGTGCATGGTGTGGCAGCACTCTGAAGGCAGAGGCAGGCAGATCTCTATGAGTCTGAAGCAAGCCTGGTTTAATATAGTGAATTCAAGGCCAGCCAGTGCTACATACTGAGGCTCTGTCTCAAAAACAACCAAACAAACAAAAACAAATAAGAAAGCAGATATCCACATGACAGTGAGTTTTACATCTCCATAAGAGTAGTGTACAAGCCTTCCAGTTGCTCCTTTTCTTGCCAACACTTGGCATTGTCAGATTTTCCCATTTTAGCTGTTCTGAATGCTGACCGGAGTTTATTTCTAAACTCCTTCCTAGCTTCTCAGATAGATCTTAGGGTTTCTGTTTTGCAGATGAGGACATCAGGGCCCTGAGAGGTGTGATAATTCGTCCAAAGCCACTTAAACTTTGGCATGGACTTAGGGCTGGGATGCCAATAGGGCTGTCTGACATCAGCCATCAATTCTGCTATCCGTTCAGCCCCCTTCCGGACCTGGCCTTATTCTGCTTCTCAGCAGTGGGAAGAGATTGGCTCTGTGGCCCAGGCTTGGGTGCCCTGGGCATGCATGGGTCACATCCTGCCCAACTCTCCCGAGAGAGTTGGCTCACAGGATTGAGAGGATATACAAAGTGATTCAGAAAAGGGGAGATGCCCAGGGAGTGCGATGGTTGAGAAGGAATAAAAATAGGGGCGTTACAAGCAGTCAGTTTGCACTCAGGAAGGGTGCAGCTCTGTTGGCAGAGGGTGAGCACAGCGCGCTACACAGCTGCGGCCTGGAGACCTTGAGGTGTCTGGCAGTAAAACCAGGCGAGGGCGGCCCAAGGCACAACCGCCTCCAGAGCCCACCAGCAGGCCCAGGGCGGGGCGCGCAGGGGGCGGGACCCCCACAGGGGCGGGGCCACAGACAGCTACTGACCAATGGATGCGCGTGGCTCAGGCCCCGCCCCTAGAGTCCGCTGCATAGTCATGAGGCGCAGGCCGGCGCTGCGTCAGCGGAAGCGGCGCGCAGCGGCTGTTTCCGACCTGATAAAGCGGCGTTGTCCCCGCGCGCTGGCCGCAGCCTCGCAGCGCTCGCACCCTGTCCGAGTAGCTGACTGACGGACCCGCCCGGCCGGCCGCCGCCGAGGGCGCAGCCGCCGCCCGGACGCCCCGCCGTCGCCCCGGTGCGCCCGGGGCCCCGCACCCCAGCCACCAGCCAGCCCCACCAGCCCCGCGGTCCCGGCCGGAGGAGACAGGTGAGCGGCCGCACCTGCCGCCCCGCCCCCCTCCGCGCGGCCGGTGCCTCGAACCCGCGGCCCGACCGACCCCGCGTCTTTCCCCGCCCCCACCCGACTGCTGCGGTGCAGCCCGCACCTGCCCTTGCTGGTCCGCATCCCGGGCCCTGCGGCCGTCTTGTGTGCACTTCTTGCACACCCGCCCGGGGCTACCCCAGCACTCACCTCCCGCCTTTAGCGTTAGGTGCGCACCCTCCTCTGCCCAGCCCTTGCTAACTTCTGGGAGTTCACCGGCTCTGGGCCCACTACCTTGAAATGCTCCTGGGTCACTGCTCTCTATCCTTGTCCCCAAACACGCATTGCTTGCAGCGCTGCTAGCTGGTGGCCTGACCCTTTGCGGGCACCTTTTATTTCCCGAAGCCCACTTCGTCCCTGGAGAAGACGGGAGCACTTACGCTCCAGGTGCAGAGCCTCGGATTTGGAGAAACCCCTCTCCCCAAGACCAGTCTTCCTCCAGTCCCTTGAGCTTAACCCATTCCTCTCCAAGGTGTGCTGCGCTAGATGGGCGCCCGGAGAGCACACTCCTGCGGAGGGCTTTTCCAGGGGAGGTATGTCCAAGTTGGGGAGCCCAGCCTTGTAATTCTACAAGGTGGGGCCAGCCATGGGTGGGAAGAGGTACTAGGTGCCCTGGGGAGTCAGGGTCTTGTGCTTTCCGCGCGGGATATTGATAGAGTGTGGCTTCAACTTCTGCCTTAGTTAGTCTCCTCTTCTGGTCCCCTAGCTGACCACACTCCGGCCTTGCAGCTTCTTGTTACTGAGGTGCTCAAAGACGAGTGCCTGGCAAACAGGATTTGGGAGCTGAGCGATTGAAGCCATTGTTTTTAGTGATCATCTAGGCCCAGAAACTCATAAGATGGGCCATAGTATACCTGGGTCACCCCACCACACGGTGAAGTGTGTTCTAAGCAAATTCCCTGCAGCTGGCTCCACTGTCTGCTGACAGGTAGGGTGTGGTGGAAATCTTTTCCTCTCTTATTTTTCCTTGTAGTAAGAAAGCATAAGTGAGAAGCTGGAGGGGCACCTTACTGCTTAAGGGTGACAAATGGCTGGTCAGTGAAACTGGGAGCCTCCACCAGCTTTGAAACAATGTGACTAACACCCTCTTGCTGTTTAGATCTGAATCCTGCATTAGAAGAGCAAGTTGATTAAGGCTCTGCAGAGATTTTGCAGAAGCTGCTGAGAAAGGGAGAGAGGCAGTGACCGGGGCCTGGAGCTGTGTGGGGCTCCAGGTGGGAAGAGACTCCAGCATAATGAAGAAATCAAGTGCTTGGGGGGAGAGATTGGGGAAGTAGGTCATCTGAAAATCCTACACTTGAGTGGCATTCGGGCGGTTGTGGTTGTTTTGTGACTGCTGCGGAGAAGTTGTTCCCTTGAAAGGTTTGCAGTGCATGTAAGGTATATGTGGGGGTGATTTATTTGGGAAACATCCCTGCCTCAACCCAGGGACTGTGAAGGGAGGCGGCCCAGGGCCAGCACCTCATGCCTTGGAGGATTCACTGGCTTCCTTGCAGAGATGCTGTGTGCTGCAGCTTTGGCCCTTGTTGCATCTTGAAAGCAGAGCAGAGATCTGGACTGAGTGATCTCCAAGGTAGCTTGTTTTTAACACCCTCCGACTTTGCTTATTGCTTATTGGAGAGGAGGGAGCCCGTGCTGGGGGAGCAGTAAACCATTCTTGCCCTCTGCATGCCCTCAGTCTGACTGCCTGCAGAGCTGTTGGGGAGGAGGGGGCTATGATGCTGCAACTCCTGGTCTCTTGTGCAGGAAAGGAGCTTCAGAAGATATTTGAGTGGTGTTTAGGGGATGCTGAATTGATTTCATCTGTGTTATCCAGAAGGCAGATGAGGGCTTTGAACAAGGGTGGTGTTAGGGTTTAGGATGCCTCGGTTGCCCTGCCTTATGCCCTCTCATTGTCCCGAGGACCCTGGTGCCTCAGCTTTCAGTAGCCAGCCAGGGGTGGTTTCTGACTGATTTGTGGGCTGGCATTGAATAAGAGTGGCTGGTGATCATTGTAGGTGGCAGACAACCCCAAATTGCTAGTGCCCTCCTGGGGAACACCCCTGGCAGAACTGTGCCTGTAATTTGTGGAATCAGAATGTGCTAAAAGCTGTGTTCTTGTTAAGGGTGGGTGAAGATGCTACTCTATGCTCACCTCCTGTGGTTCCCTAGATTTTTTTTTTTAAATCATAATGTAATTATGTCAACGAGGGTACATTTAGTGATATGCCAGTAGGAGAGAGCCTCAACTGCAGACCAGGTAACACAAATGCTCAGTGGTGTCCAGCAAAGGTTCAGCAGTGGGGACAGCTTCATGTATGAAACCCTTATGGGGGTGGAAGACCCCATAAGCCAGAGTCTACAGAGGGCTCAGCTGAAGCACCTCCCCCACCAGCTCCTAGACAAGGTCTCCTTGTTTGCATTAGCGTAACTGCGCCACCAAAGTCAATGAACAAGGATCTTTTTAAATGGGAACTTTCAAAATGTGCCTGGAGTGTCCCCCCTCCATCTCCTCTTCCCCCAACCCCCTACTATCAAGTTCTGAGCCCTGTGATACTCCCTCTCAGAAACTTGAGGCCTCTTCCACATTAGTGGAAAAGACAGACCTGTTCCTAGCCTGAGGAACCTGGTCAGGCTCAGGACAGGTACCTCCCTGCTTTTTATGTGAAGGCTGGAGTGTGCCTGGGGTTTGTTATTGGTTGTGTGTGTTTGGGATTTTGTTTTTTAAAGACTGGGTCTCACATAGCTGAGACTAACCTTGGACTCCTGATACTCCTGCTCCACCTCCTGGGTGCCTCCTCCTGACAAGTGCCGGAATTACAGTTTTGTACCCAGGTGCTTGGCTCTGTGAAGCATTTTTAAGAATAAAACACTGTAGCATTAGGAAGGCTGATGCAGCAGGAATGAAAGTTCAAGTCCAGCCTGGCATATGTAGGGAGGCCCCTTTTCTTTAATATTTAAATTTTATTTTAAATGATGTATAAATGTGTGTCTTTGTGGATATGTGCATGAGAGTGTAGGTGCCCGCAGAGGCCGGAGGTGTTAGCCTCTCAGCCCACTGGAGCTGGAGTTTGAGGTAGTTGTGAACTGTCTGATGTGGACACTGAGAATCAAACTTGAGGCCTCTGGAAAAGCTCTTAACATTTAAAATATGTGCTCTTAAACACTGAGCCATCCTTCTAGCCTGAGATCTATTTAAAAAGAGAAAGTATTGGATTACATAGACTCAGCAGACATAGCTCATTTGTTTTTTGTTGTTTGTTGTTTTGTTTTGCTTTTAAAAAATTACTGTTAGCTTTCCTCGTGCCCCTTCTCAAGGGGCCACTGTGTTCTCAGGTGGCCAGCCTTGTGTGTCCTCCATGGAGGATGTGGGTGTCAGTGCCTCAGAAGGTCAGCCAGGCATTGTGGATAACCGAGTGTATCCGTCTCCCGTGATGCTGTGGCTGGACTTTTGGGAGCTGTGGGAAGGACACAGAACCTGAGGCTGGAGAGAGGACAGTCCCAAAGTCCCTGTAGTAGCTCAGCTACTGCTTAGATGTGGGTTTGTTTGTTTTACTTTTTTTTGGTTTTTTTGAGACAGGGTTTCTCTGTGTAGCCCTGTCTGTCCTGGAACTCACTCTGTAGACCAGGCTGGCCTCGAACATAGAAATCCACCTGCCTCTGCCTCCCAAGTGCTGAGAGTAAAGGTGTTTGGCACCACTGCCCAGTTACAGTTTTGATCCTTAAGCTTAGCTTCCTTTCCTCTTTCAAGCCCAGAACTGGGAGACATTGTCTCCTTGTCTTCAGCTGAACCTTCCCTCATCTATAGAAGGATTTTCCCAGCTGGGCAATTTGATAGGGAAGGGCCCTGGCATGGGACCTGCTATGCCAGGATCTTGTGTGGCCAATGGATCCTGTACAGCCAACCTCTGGTCTGAGTTCTTGTAGTTAGTGTCTCTTGAACTTGCAGCCACATGACTTGGTTAGCCACCACATCCTCATTTCAGACAAGGGAAAAATCTTGAGTAAGAAAAGCCACACTTTGGACTAAAGATGAAGAGACATTGAGGCGTTGAGGTGGGCATGCATTTGGCTCTAATGCAGTGGACACTGTACTTTGTGTACACGTCCTACTGCATAACTTTATGCAGTCACTTAGATGTTGTAAGCCAAAGGATAATAAATAGCTCTCTGTTGCCAGCAACTTAGTCACCGCTTGAGGGAAGTACAGCCAATCAGCAGAGTGTGATTTTTGGTTTGGAGTAAGGAGGGAGTATTTTTCCATCAAATTTTTGGAGGACTGGATTGAATTCAGGACCTCCTATGTGGTACTCGCTGCCACTACTGCAGCTCTCCATCAGGTGTGTGTGTTTGTGTGCGTGAGCACGTGTGTGCAGAAACTAACACTGGGTATCTTCCTCTACAGATCTCTACCTTAATTTTGAATCAAGAGTCTCTTACTGAACCTGGGGGCTGGCCAGTGAGTTCCAGGCACCCTCTTGCCTCTGCCTCCTCATCCCAGTGCTCACCATGCCCAGCCCCCTGTAGTTTTGGGTTTTGTTTTTGGTTTGTTTTGTTTTTAACAGTTTTTAATGCATTGAAGGGGTACACATGCAACTGTGCAAAATATGGGCGTCAGAACATCCTGAGTGGTGGGTCTCTCCTGCTTCTCTGTGGCCTCATATGGCAATTAACTCTACCTGCTAAGCCATGGCACTAGACCTCCATGTGTTTACTTACCTATTTATTTACTGGTTTATTTTGAGACAGGGTTTTTCTTGTGTTCCCTGGCTCTCCTGAAACTTGCTTTGTGACCAGGCTGTCCTCAAACTCAGAGGTCCACCTGCTTTTGACTCCAGAGTGCTGAGATTAAAGGTGTACACTACCACCATCTACTTATTTTTTATTTTTTTAGGTCAGAGTTTGACAGCTATAATGGAAGTAAAATCACTTGTATTGAACAAGGCTGGGCAAGGTAGCACACGTCT